TCCCTTCATTGAAAAAACAAAAGGGAAACCTGGATTGACCAAGGCGGTTCGTAAGAACGAAAGACAAGACAGAAATGAATTTCTATCGTCTTACGGTAAATAAAGTACACACATGTATGAGGCCGCGCGACACTTCCTAACTTAGAAATCGCTCTCCGTATCGTTACGCTCATTACAGTGACACCGGAAAAAGATTCCGTTCGCATTCCTTAACGATGTGCTCGAGGGGCGGAAGGGGGCGGGGGAGGGTCAACGCTAAATATCGCGGTAATGCACGGGTGATCGTAAATACCTGGCCGCGGTATTACCGTGGCGCTGCCTGGAAATAACCGTGTATGAAATATTCAGCGACTCGAAACATAACGTTAGGGCGTAAATCGTTGCGTTTTTATCGATCATCGCGCGCCGCATAGCGCACGGTAGTTGGGCGGCCCCCTCCACTATTACGCGTTCATTATAGATCAGAATCTCTAGCGTCCGCCTAAATCCGTCATTATCCATGCTCCGCCGTGCCTCGGCACCGTCATAAAAATTACAACGCCGAAACAAGCAACAGGTTCATGGCGAGAGATCGCCCTCGCGCGGTTCGCGGCAAAAATCACCCCGTGGCGGGTCCCAATTAATTTTTACCTTCTTCAATAATGACACTTTTGCAGGAGCCCCGATAATTCAGGTCGGCAAAACGATCGGTTTCAATGGCAATCGAGCCGAGGACGTCGAAGACTCTCGTGAGTCGCGCGAGGACCTCGGAAGCTCGACATTTTCCTACGGACCTCCACGCGCGATATGCAGGGTCCGCCACTAGCATCCGGACAAATTTAAATTTGAATTTCCCGCCTCATTTGACTTCGGCGGTAGGTCATTGTAGGCGCACGGGCATTTAATTTTGCTTCGACAAAGTGCCCATTTTGTCCGGATTTTCGTGGCAGACTCTGTATAGCGTGTCAAATCGCTGGGAAATGATTCCGTGCAGCGAACGAAGATCCCAAGGACGTGAAACGGAGAGGTCCGGGCGCGACAATAGGGACGACCGCGACTAGATGAGACGCGCGTCCACGTTGGATCTGAAAGAGGACGATTAACATATTCGGTCTCTCTTTCCCGGGGTTCATGATACCACGAATAATCGGTGCGAACCGGCCGCTCGAGAGACCGCACCGCCATGGACCGGCACGGAGTCGGCACGGCTGGCACCTAAGTGCATAGCTAGTCGACCTGCATCCACGGATATGCAGGATTCCGGCGTCGACGGACCTCATACCACTGGAATGCACCGTATACGAGCTACAGGCCCCATACTCCGCCCCCCCCTCCCCCTGGCTCCGGCACGCGCTTCTTCTTCTTCTTTCACCTTTCTCCCTCCCCGTCACCTGGTCGATCTTTCTCTCCCCCGTCCCCCCCGGCGTTAGCCGCCCCTTCTTCTCGCGCGGCCTTCTTACCACTTACCAGTTACCACTCGGGACGTGTTAATGGCTCCGGCCGGCCACTTGGGTTACCAGGCGCGAATCTCGTGTCAATCACTGTTGGGACCCGGGTTTTTGACCGGGTTCCCGCGACGATCGATCGACGAGTCGGCCGACCGAGGGAAACGCACGACACCCAAGTTTTCAAACGGGCTATTATCCCGTAACTTTGTCGCCAATAATTGCGTCGGTTTGCCGTTAATCGTAACGCAATTAAAAATAAGAGGTCCCTCGACCGAGTCCTCCCCCTATCCTTCACCCCCCCCCCGCCCCCCGGACGTAATAAAGCCGCGTTGAATTAATTTCAGACGGACCCCGCCGCGAATAGAGCTCCCCAGCCCGAGAGATATTAGTACGCGGCATGAATATAAAATTGCGAAATTTTCGCGAAAGGAGCTCGCGGTGCCTCCTTGGCTGCGCGGCGGCCGTCCCGTATCGACGCGCGGAACGACCTCGAAGAGCACGCCCGGTCGGCGGAAAATTACCACTTTTCGAAATTACTAAAACTGCCTTCAATAAGGCGTCGCGCGACGCATTCGACCCCGTTGCGCTCCGTAGCCGGCCCATTTTCAAAACACCTTGGACAATTTGGAGAAGTGGCCCTCCCCCCCCCACCCCCACCCCGTCCCGCGATCGCGCCGCGCGCCCACTCGCCCCGTCTCGTTCAATAACCGAAGGGGGCCACGTGACGAGCCCGCGCCTCGCGCAATGCGATTGAATCGGTGAATGATTTATCCGCGAGGAATTCCAAGAATCGACAACGAAGAGAGGCTCCGCCGCGACGATGGACTCTCGCATTCCGCATAATTGCCGTATATCGTCGTCGAGCCGTAAATACCGACGGCGACGGGGGAGCCTTGACGCGCTTCCCCCGCGCTCACCCCCCACCCCCCCGCCACCCGCTTTATTGCACTTCGATCGCGGCCGATCGATCGCGCGCGCGTATCGTTATGGATAAATCGCGGCGCCTCGCGAGAGGACTGCGTAATCACCCAACGATTGATGACGCGTCACCCTCGCCTCTCGCAACGCGCGCGATAAAATGCACGACGACGCGATAGCGCGCCGCGCGTTTTATCAGCTCGAGATGCGAGAGACGCGCGCGCGCCTCGCGTTCGAAGGGATACAATTCGTCCGCCGGGAATACGGATCGTCCTTCGCGTACAGCCGGTTATTCGGATCAAGCGACCGCGAGGAAACGCGAACGAACGATCTGCTCGAGTAAGAGCGCGGGCGATTCGCGCGGATTGCTTGATCCGGTTTTCCCTCGCGGATCTCGAACGTACGTATGCAACTGTAGCGCCGTTTAATCGAAAGGAATTAGTCGAATGATCGCAAGATGGCTCGGCATTAAGTGTCACTGATTACTCGGCGCGCGTTATCGCCGTTGCGGTTTAAAGTCGCCTGTGATTTCCGCCGAGCCTGCACGGGGAAAAAATGATGTATCAACAAGATCAGTGTAATTGAAATAAAATCGTTGAAACAACATCGGTATTAATAAATGAAATACGTCAGATTGCTGTCTTAATAATCTGGATATTTAGTTCACTGCTTAAAAGTAAAATCCATAGCAAATACAATTGAGTGAGTTATTTATGTTTGTGGCAGCCCGTGACGTTAACGTTTAATTCAAGCGACTTCATTTTGTTTGATTCAACAGCATTTTTTCCCGTGTGCCGACGCCCGCCGTCGACGTGACGAGACCGAGACGAAATGTCCGCGAAGCGGTAACAGTTAGGCCACGTAACAGGCAGCTTTTCGTATAATTTGTAGAACTCGTGTCCACCCACGTTATGCTCGCGATCCTATGTACCTCCCCTTCGGATCGTTTTCGATCTCGGAGACGTATTTCGTGAAGAACTTGCCGCGCCTTCTGAGATCGGGCGGGCATTTGCCGCCGAAGAGGAGACCGGCGTTCACCAGCTTCTCGAGAACCAACCTCGTCAGTTCACCCATGTACATCCCCGAGATCATTTTCTCGAACAACTGCCTGTTTGGATTGATAGCGGATTTCTGTCCTTCCTCAACTGTGTCATCTCTCCTTAGCGTAGGCGCGATCTCCGCTTTTGTCTCTCGAAGGAAATGTCGCACAGTCGGAATATATATTTTTACTAATCGCATTACCAATTACATTGGTAAAAGTTGCATCAGGATAATGCGGGGTTGTTTAACTCGATTGAAAAGTCCGGACAAAAGGCCCCACCCCAACTCTGGAGAAAAAGACAGTTAGCAACCCATTTTGGGGTTACTATTTGGATTGTTCGTAACACTCTAATCTTTTACGAATGTTACCCCGCGTAACTAAAAACCGCAATTAGCTATTCTATCTATATCAAAGATTTTTAAGTAATCAATTCTCTCAATTAGTTCTGTCGATATTCAGTAACGCAAAGATAATTGGCACTAACCGAAATGTTAAGTTGATTAACTACCAAAAAAAACGGTCAAAATTTTTCCCAGAGTAGAGTTACGAACAATCCAAATAATTCGATTACTAATTGTGGGCCCCAAAATGAGTTGCTGCCTTCTTTCCCCAGAATATATTTGACAAATGAAAAGCTTCTCCCTGTATTGAAATGAACGCTACGGTGTGTCTCTTCGTTCGAAAATCCGAACGTCGGAATTGTAACGTTTCGGCCTTATCGCGATATTATTTACGTTCGATAATTGCGATCAAATCGCTTATCAATTTAGTGCAACAATAAGTGGTGACCACGTCAACTCCCAACGGAGAACGCGTAAGAATGATGTGAGGAAGTTCCGGCAGAAAAACGATCACGACTGGATTGATGGATCTTAATCCGAAAGATTCGATTCGAAAAACTGTAACTAGTTTTTCAACTGTGAGAAACGAGAGAAAATTTTAAGCGCTATCGATTTTTTACACGATAAAACAAAATTGAACAAGACAAGATTTTCCAAACAACCCAAGATAAAATTCACACTATTCTATTTGATAAGAAATTCTACTTCCTATTTGTCTCTAAATACGTGTATAGATATCTACAGGCCTGCCAGCGGGCTTCTCGTTATCAAAAGCGCCACAAATGCCGGAAAACAAAATTTTCCAATCCGTCAGCCTCGCCCTACCTACAAAACGTGGGAATACCTGGGCGAACGAATATCCGCACGCCGTAATTTTATTTTCGGACGTCTCGTCCCGGTACCTTGGACGAGAGCTTAGAACGCTGTCTCGGTAAGAATCGTTACCTGCTTCAAAAACACGTTTACACGGGTGAGAGATAGAATTAACCGGCGCGGCCTGATAAGCTATCGGCGCGATAGAATCCTATATATACCCGCAAGTGCTTCAAATACCTTGTCGAGTACAGCATCGTAAAATTCTTGGCGCGATAACCATTGATAACAATAATAATATACATGACATCATAGATTAAATTTAAAGGTAGACGTAAGATATAAGAAATTTCATACACGTTCCAAAGGATTATTCGCGGAGGGAGAAAACGCGCAGCCTCGGCGCGGCGGGAGCCCGCCGTGCCTTCCGCAGGTAAGTCGTGACAACGGAGCTCTTACCTCGTTGATGTGCTTGTAGGTCTTGATGAGGTCGACGCTGAGTTTCCTCAGGGGCGCCGTCGCTGGATCGCGAAACCTGTGGGGTATCCTGGCCTGCATGGCGTGAATGTCCGAGGGGGTCTCTTGCGGAACCCCACCGACAGCCCCGCCACCCGCGGCACCAGCCCCACTGCATACCGCGGAGGGCATGGGCTCCTCGGCCACCAGGCGCCCGTAAAGGGGCGCACCGCCGGTCCCCGTCCTCCCGCTCACTGAAAGCATCAGGAGACAAACGGATCAATGCACGGCGACGGCCGAAGAGTACTCACTTTGATACACCCCGCGTGCACGCTCGGCCTTCGGGCGAGCCTTGATCGCGGGGGTACGCGCGCGCGAGAGAGGGAGCTATCGAGCCCACGCTCGATTAAATGCTGTTCGTCGCTTCCTTACCGCTACGCACGCGACTATTGGACCAAATTATATCGGGACATGCCACGTCGGAGTCGAGATAGGACACGGTTGTCCTGAACGCAACGGCGACACGATCCCCGACTCTCGATTCTCACACACGTCATCATTCGGCGACCCGCGGCGCGACTCCCGACTTTTGATCCTCAACCTTCGATCGACGTTTCCCCGATTCCGTTATTTGTCGAATCGGCAATTCGAATCCAAGATCAACTGATATTTTCGCTAATATTAATATTTAATTTAACGGAAGTGATTCCGTACAAAGTCGAATGCTGCTCTGACATCGAAGTTTAATTGTCAAGGGACAATGCGGTATAATTCATTGAGAAATACTGGTCAATCTTTCAAACTTCTAAACTGGACAGAATATCGGAAGCTTCGTCATCTTTTTTCTTTAGCAAGTTCTTGTTTAATTAAACTTCTGTCGAAAAATATTAAAATAATGAACGGTAAAAAATCGACATCTCTGATGTTACGATAAAATCATTAAATATTAAAAGCGCAAGAAGCAAATTTAAATATATAATACGCGAGAGATAATTATTCAGTACAATTATTTGTATATATTGTTTACACATACGCACGATATTGATTTATGAAATCTGCAATGTAATTGCAGCGAAGATTGAACCCCCGTAGCTTTGCAGCACACCGCGAGAAATCGATGCGCGGCCGCGAGTTTAGTCAATGATCAATATTTATGTTTGCTGCCTGATATTGACGTTTATCTGTTAAGTTTATCATTAGGTAATTAGATTCGCGTAGTAATTAGGGAGCGTCAGGTAACCGAGCTGCAAGTTGTTTTGATCGATGTCGCGACGCTAAGATGTAAGATTATTATGCTCGCTGTGACAAATAAATTCGACATGTGACTCGATGCGTAATATAAAACTAATTTGATTACGATCAAATGCGTACAGTTATTCGCATGAAGCTATAATCCAATTTTTCGCTTGCATGTAAAGAAAAAATTATTGGAAATCTTTCTACTTCTGAAAACACTTTCGTTGCTGTCACTTTTGTTCTTATCGTGCATCTACACGGAGAGAACGTTCTTTTAAAATTTATCCTGAAAATCACGTAATCGTGGGACAACATGGCATTTCCAAGAATTTTATTAGTTTTGGAAAATTTTACCAGTAAAATGTATGGTAAAATTTCCAAAAACTCTCATAAATTTCTTCAAAATGCCATGTTGTCTCATGATTTTCAGGGTAAATTTCAAGAGAAAATTCTCTCCGTGTAAAAATGTTATTTACGCTAATAATCAATCTTAAATGGGCAACGTATCATTAGTCACGTAACGTGTTATTTATCCTTCTTTATCTTTTAACCCGAACACACAAGCAATTCGTCATACTATAATAATAACAATATAGACGTCATCTTAATTTAAAATTACGTAAACGCTTGCAATTAAAAACTATTCAATTAACAAAAACACGTGTACGATATCAAACACAAACGTAAGACAATGATCGACGAATATGTCGTAAGTAATGCGCGGTCTTGCTACAATTATACACCATGCAATAATTTTGCGCATATTTTACATCGCTCGGTATTCCGTATTTTTAATTGTAGCAATTAACAATTGTATTAGCTCTTAATTTAAAACAATGCTCGTGGAGAGTAAAACGACAATCGGTAGGATATCCCTTTCACCGAGGAAGATCATTTGGTTCTAAGCTCCTTTTTACGGTCGGCGGTAAAGCCGCGAACGTAATTAGCATCAGAAAAATTTCGCGGAGTCGCGTGTCCGCGAATGAATACGCGATTAAAACCGCCGCCGTTCCTCCGCAAACAGAATCGGTTTTGTTGAAATTACTCCCGGATAATCCCGTAATAATACCAGGGTACGTTAAATCCAACTCTTTTGTGGCCCATGATAAGTTACCGTCTCTCTAATAGAGTTTTTTCTCAAGCTAATCAAGCTGTCTCTTTTAATAATACAATCGCATTTGTTTCGATGAATCTCCCGAAAAGATCAAGATCCTGCCCGCGGACTGGCACGTCGGGGGACGGCGTTACTTTTTCAGTAACAGAGGGGCAGAATCGCGACGACGAGGCGCAGAAGGTCGCGGGAAAAGGGCGGACGGCGGCGATTTGCGGCAACTCCTTCCGCGAAAAGTAATACGTACGAATGAATCACGACCGGACGGGGAATTGCGATACGTTCAAAGAAGCAATGCGTGCTGAGGAAACCCGCGTTGATTGTTTCTATAACGATCCGCCGCGGAAATAGACAGTAGCCTCGCCGAGGCAATCTGCAACGGACCCTTTCTCCGTAGAGCGAGAAGGTGCGCGGGAATAGAGCTTTTCGCATTGACCGATTCGACGTTCGCGGAAAAATATTCGTCGGCGGGGACCTCGGAGACTCCACCCCTCAACGTCATAAAAGAAGGGACAGTTTCTCGTGCAGCGTTAGAAATTACACGCGCGTGGAAGAGGACCCAGAAAAAAAAATTGATTTAAGTTAAATAAATGAGATACGGTAAAATCACACCGATAGAAAAAGATGCAGTATTTGAAACTACAATTGTAGAGTAAAATAAGTCAGGAATGTCGTTTTTATAGTAATTATTACTATAATATTAGTAGCGGTACAGGCGCGATACAATCGAAAGCGAACCAGAGTGTGACACGCGCTTCGAAAGACGGTATCCGTATGCTCGATTTCTTCTCCCCGGGCGCCCCGGCGCGTGCCGGCGGTTTCACTTGAGTATTTTCATCAGCCGTTGAAACGAGAGCTCCTTAAGGCGCTCTCGGGCGCTCTTCGCGGCGAGGACGAACACTTGCGGGCAGGAGAGGTGAGAACAAAAGCGCGCAAATGCGGAAGCATTCGATAATTAACAATTCCGCCGGCGGACCAACCTCGCGCGCGGCCCTTTCCTCTACCTTTTCTTTCCGGCCGATGAAAAAGCGCCCCGCGCCTCGCCTCCACGAGAGACGCAACTGCGTTCACACTTGACAGTCGCTTCGCGCTGCGCGAAGATTATGTTTATTGCAATGTCGAGCAATATTAACGTAAGCGCGAACAAAAGTGTCCCGGACGTTATCTCAATTGTCGTCGTTGCCAAATCAATCTCGCTCCGGCAATTAAGAGGATCCCCTATCAGCTGATTCGCCGTGGCTCCGTTCGGAAACACATCATCCGAGTCCCCCCTATGTAGAAACAACTACAAGAGAGGAGATACATGAGGGCGCGTTGGCGTATCCGACGAGTCTCATTGGAATATGCTCTATATCGTTTTTCGTTGGCAGAAATTGTGCGCACTGAGTGCACACTACGGCTTGTTCATAGCCAAATCTTATATTTAAGATCGTTTTCAAAATTCCTCTCTTGTAGTTGCTTCTACATAGGGGGGGACTCGGATGATGTGTTTCCGAACGCAGCCGAACATAACCACACCGACACACCTACACTGACACGTCACACCCACACATAAACACGAAAGTTTCATACTAACTATACTCTTATTTTAAACGTCTAATCCCAATTTAGAGGGTTTCACAGTAATTCTACATGTCATCGAATCCTAGGGAACTCAGTTGAATGCGAGTACAAGTTGTAAAATTTTTATACGAAGCACAAGTATGACGGAGTGACAGTTTGTCTACAAGAATACATATGTGATCGATATATGAATTTGGAAGTTTTTACTCATTTCTTGTATAAAATCGGAGTTTCCTGGGATCATTAATGCCATATCCTGTAATTGTACGCAAGCATTTTTGATTCCATGAATTTAATACGACGAAAGGTTATAACTATACGAAAATGGTAATTCTGTCGGTAATACAGAACGGCTGCGGGATCCTCTTAAGCTGCAAGAGCCACCGCGCCCGTGGAGAAGAAACGGGAAAAGCCGACGTTTATTGTTTCGCGCTTCCGAGAAGATCGAGCGGGCCTCTAAAGCAGATTGGGGAACGAAATCTTCCTAAATCTTGCGGAAGTTGGACAAAGAGCGCGAGAGAGAGAGAGAGAGAAGTGTCGATAATTAACAAGAAAGGACGAAGCGTGCTCCATGCGGGGAACCGGGGCGGCGGCAGGCGGTCGTTAATTTTGACGTATGACTCCTCGTCGCCCGTCGTCCGCTTCGGCACCCGCTGAAGCATTTACTGTCATTTTAACGACCCTGTTAGCCGAACCGGCTTAACGCCGGCCGCTTGGTGCTACGTGAAACAGCACCCTTCTAGGACCACCTACGTCTCGCCCTTTTAGCCTTTTTAGCGCGGCCGTAACGTGGCTCCAAGTTACTCGGCTTGTTCGCGATTTATTTTCCTTTCTTCCCTCTTCACGTGGGACGTAAACGTTTCGCGAAATCATGCCCGAAAAAAGAAAACCTCACATACACTTGCTTCTCCCATTTTTAACAAGAAATACATTTATTTTCGCGATTTTTAAATACGTCGGCTTATACGCGCCACCGACAACAAACGAATTTCCTCTTTCGGTAGGTCCGACAGTAAATAGCAGAGTGGGTGTTCCGCTCAGTCGTACCTTGAATGCCTCCTTGAAAAGCCCCTCGAGTGGAGAGAGGAAGGACAAAGAGCGCGCGCAATGAAATACACTCCGGAAGCAATTTAATTGTTTTTGCATATAGATTGAATAAAGCCGACGAAAAAGAAGTTTCATTAACTGCGTGCGTTTTCGA